ACATAGTGAGACCCTGCCTCAAAAACAAACAAACAAACAAAAATATTTAGTCCAAGGAGGACGCTGAAGCCCCTGCTGAGAATGATTCTCTGAATTGATGAGCAGAGGACAGAGAAAGACCAGCCCTGATGTCAGGGTGAGACTGGGCCCCCATGAGGATGTTTCTGGATGCAAGACTGACAGGCCCCAGACAGGGACGTACCTCCTGGTGGGAGAAGTTCCTCCCAGTGTACACTGACACCCTCCTGGCTGAACTGATGGGCCAGGGCAGGAAAGGTTTCGTTTGAGGGCCCTTTGCTTTCTCCCTTCTAGCTGTGTGACCCTGGGTAAGGCAGTGCACGTCCATGTGCTTCAGTTTCCTTTCCTATGAAATAGTGGGAGGAGCATTCACCTCAGGGGGCTGTGCTGGAAATTCATCAGGACACGAAGTCCTCAGCACAAGGACCTGCTGGAAACACTCATGCACATAATGATCATCGTCCTCTGGCCCTTCCATTCCCCATGTTCCTACTTTTTTCTCTTCCTGTGAACCTTACCCAGAGTGCTTGAGGGACCCCATGATTGGTGAGATCCTTGGAACTTGAGTCTAAGAAAGGCAGTTTTGTGGCAAGATCTGAGAAGGGTCACGGTCACTGATGTTGTCTGAAAGACAGATCAACCAGTGGCTGTAGGAGACATCCCAGCTCAAAGGCTGGGCCCAGTAGTTTTGTAAGGAGTGTCACCAAATGCAGAAGTCTACCACCCTGGGACCCGTTCCAGAAAAAGGGACCAAAACAGTTCCCGCTGGGGTGTGATCTGTTCTGTGACACTGGGCTACTGCACAGCAACGATGCAGATACTCAAGAGGTCCTGTTCCCTGCTCTCAGGGTGTCAGCTCCTGATGGCAGGAGCCATGGAAGGCTGTTTTCTTTTGTCCACCCAAATCTGTCTTCTCTCATCAGCAGGAATCCAGGAAAGCCCACCAGGGGACCTCACAGACACACATTCTTCCTCCCAAAGCACCCTCCAGCTGGGCAGCCCTTGGCCTTCATGGAGTACTTCAGGCAGAGATGGGAAACCACAAAAATGTTAAGCTGAGATGAAGGAACGTAATGGGCTCTAATCTGAACTGACAGCAGCATTATTAGCCAGCAAAGGGCCCGCAGGAGCAGCAGGGATAGGGTGGGAGGGAAGGGAAGCGAGGAGGAGGGATGAAGGACAAAGAGATACAGCGCAGACTTGTGTAGGGGCAGCATGAGAGGGCTGCCAGTGATGGCGTTACAGGGTCACAGCAGTGGTGGCAATGATCAATGGCACTGATGCTTGTTTACAGCGGATGATACACAAGGCACTGCTGGAAGCCCTTGATTATCAGATGCAACGTTCTTAAGGCAGGTGTTAATACTGCCCTCTCCACTTTACTGGTGGTGTCAGAATTAAGGCACAGAGAGGTTCATCAATAAAGAATCCCAACCCAGGTGGCCAGGCAGGGGGTGGGCTATTCCTGGAAGCTTCCTTTAGCACTCTATAAGGCAAAGGTTTTTCTTAGAAGTCAAAGAGATGTAGTTAACCCTTTCAAGATAAAGAAGGGTCAGGGGCTGCATAGCAGAGAGGCCTGTGTGGAGCCCTGCCCACAAGGCTGGAGGCCCTGACCACTGTTACCTAGCTGGTGCCCACCAATGCCAGGATGGATCTGTGGGTTAAGACACAAATTTCACTGTCTTCCAAGAAGAAAGAGGAGGGACATAAATGCCAGCTCTTCCTGCCGGGTGAAGAAATCACAGCCCAGATGTCCTGATGCAAAGGGACAGGATCCAAAGGGTGTCCTCTGAGGAAGTGACACCCTCCTAGCCAGTCCTGTATTTACACATAATCAGCTTCTGACCCTTTAGCCTGCCTGGAAACTGAATTTTCAGAACATCAGGGTTCAAAAACTAGGCCACAGAGCCATTCTGGTTGTGGTAATGGTTCTCTTCTCACTGTGAGGAAAAACCAAGCAGGTAAGTACAGACATCTTGAGAGGTGAGAGGAGGAGGTGACTGAGAAGCCACGTGGGGCAGAAGCCTGACATGAGACCTTGTGAAGGCCATTTAACCTTTCCATGCCTCATTTTCTCATCTCTAAAATGGGGGTAGTGATTGCAGGGCCTTGCTCCTGGCACGGTGGTTGTGAGGACAGGGAGTTAATCCGTACAGAACACCCGGCACATCACTCGTGCTAAGGAGCTTCGGTTCACCTTACTGTAGACACTGCCTGGGACCTGCAGGAGGAAGGGCTCTGTCCCTTTTCAGGTTCCTTGGTCTATAACAGGAGATGAAACCTCAGATTCTCCTACATTCGACAAGGCACTGTTCAGAGAAGCACGGACCCCAGGAACAGGACACCAGAAGCTTCAACTTTCTCTCCCTCCCTGCGCCTAGCACCCGCTTGGGGAACTGTAAGATGCTGCAGGAGAGCTGGGAGCTCCTGTCCCCCCAGGACACCCATGGACCAGGCATCTATCAGCGGAGTCAGAGGCAACATTAGGCTCCTCTCTCCTTAGGCCCTGCTCATGACAGCACACAGGGTGGGGGAGAGGTGGCGGCCGTGGTCACCACAGCGGAAGCACATTCTACTGTATGTGAAAGGCACTTTCCAGGGCAGCCCTCTAATTCTCCCAGCAGCCCTGTAAGGTTGATTTCATCAGCTCGTGGCATAACCTCCTCCCTTACTGCCCCCTTCACTGTTTCTATAAGCACACTCAACTTTGCCTTTGTTAAAAATTATTACACTTCGGCCGGGGAAATAACTCAGTGGCACAGCGTCTGCCTGGTAACCACGAGGTTGTGAGTTCGATCCCTGATACCACAAAAAGAAATAAAGCAAAACAAGACAAAAAAAAAAAAAAAAAAAAAAAAAAACCAGAAAAACCATACTGTATTTTCATTCTGTTTTTTTAATTATTTATTTTGGGAATGTAATGCGCTCACATGGTTCAGAATGGCAAAGCGATGACAAGAGACACACTGGAAAGTCCTGCTTTCCACCTCGGTTCTGTCTTCGAGTTTTCTTGCCCCAGGGAGTAGGTTGCCAGTTCCATCACACAGCGTGGTAATGCTTTGTTTATCAGTCTCTGTCCTTCAGGAGCAGGACTCTGCCTGCTTCATTAACTACTTCATTCCTAGGACACAGCACAGTGCCTGGCGGATGACAGGAGTGCTGTGCGTGCTGTCTGTCTGTCCATCCAGGTATCCATCCAAGAGACTTATTCAGAGATAGCAATATGTGGATTTTTTTTTAAATGAAGGAAGCTCCGAGAAGAAAAGTGATTTGCCTGCTTGGGTCTTCCTAATTCCCAAGACCATGTTCACTGGGGACTCTGTCTATCTATTAATGGCCATCTGTCCCTTCTTTGGACATTTGCCTGTCCTCTATGAACTAAATGCTGATTTCATTTTTCCTTTTTCTTTTTTTTTTTTTTTTTTTTTTACCGGTACCAGGGATCGAACTCATGACCATGTACTTGCAAGGCAGGCACTTATGCCGCTGAGCTAAAATCCCCAGCCCCCCTGATTTCATTTTTCAAGTGTAATTTTTAACTTTTAAAAAATTCTACCTGTACGTGTTTGCAGTACATGCACTTTACAGTCATCTTGGGGGGTGGGTTCCTGTATAAACTATAGCTTGTTTCTTTTGTTAATCCCGTCCCCCCTTTCTTCCCTCATCCTAATTTTCATTGTTGTTGATATTATTAATCTTAGCTTTGTTATGATACACACTGTTCACATTCGTTGAGGTTATTGGGTTCCTGTGCATGGCACATCCCTTTAGTCTCCTTATCTGCACGTCTCTTTTCCTTACCGCTCACTCTTGTTGCCTTGGACTCCTTCCCCATTGCGAGAGAACATCCCTTTGTCCCCTTCTTTTCTTTTTTCGTCTTTTTCTTTTTTATCGGTACTGGGGATCGAACTCGCAACTGCCTGCTTGCAAGGCAGGCGCTTATGCTGCTGAGCTAAATCCCCAGCCCCCCCCCCTTCTTTTCTTGTTGTTTTTTTGAGACAAAGTCTCACTATGTAGTTCAGGCTGACCTCGAACTCACAGCAATCCTCCTGCCTCAGTCTCTTGTGTGTGGGATTACATACGTGCACCACCGTGGCCGGCTCTAGTACAATTAAGTGGGAACACACATAGGACCTTTCTTTAAGCACCACAGAGAGAAGAGCTGTGGGTCAGGAAATGGAGCATCACCTCACAGAAAGTCCCATTGTGTCTCCCAGCCCTCACCCCATGGAACAGCACCACAGGGATGCACGCTGGGGTATTCCTATTGATCTGTGCCCCACTCCCTACCAACCTCCCTTTACTCCCCTGCAAATGCAAAGGGGCCTCCTCTGCTCTGATCTTTAATGTCTTCTCTAGTTTAACCCCCTCCCCACTGGTGCTGCTCTCTGCCAGCAATGGAATCCACAGCAGACGATGGCTGTGGAAGGATTAAAGCTAATACTCACTGCCAGTATAATCAATGCAGGTGAACACAGCCAACCTGGCCAGGTACCTAGTTCTGGCCCAGTCCAAGGAATGCGTACACAGAGCTTTGGGTCCTCGGAAGAGCTGGAAGGAGAGGTGGAAGGAAGGACAGCTAGCCCTGGGGAGCAAGTCGAGCTGAGGGTGGGAAGGCCCATGTGTCTCCTTCGGGGCAGGGGCCCAGCAGGCTGCTTTCCAGAGGGTCAGCTGGTCCCTCCTGTGGGAGCTACGGCTTCAGGCTTCCACTCAGCCTTATTCCTCAAAGTCCAGGCAAACAGGGGTTCTGGGAGCCAGAAAAGGGAGGTGGTAGAGAATGAAGGGAAGGAAAGGGAGGAGAAGAAAGGCCAGGAGCCTGGAAGTGAGGAGCCAGCATGTCCGAAAGGGACGAGGTGTCAGCTACAACAGGAAGCCTGCTACAGCTGGACACTGCTGGAGGGGGAAATGGGGACAGGGAGAGAGTATGGAGAAGAAGACTCACAAGCTGATTTATGCATTTGTCTTTCCATTCATTCATCCAGTAACACAATGGATATCAATACGGAGAGACAATTGCTAACTGAGGTAAAGACAAAAGAAATGTCAGAGTGGCCAAAAAGCTATCTGAGTTGCAGTACGGATATTGTAGGAGTCAGCCACTTACAATGAGATGTTTAAACCAGACACGGAGCAAATACAGAAGCAGGCAGCTCCTCGTACTTCCCAGCTCGGTGGCTCGTCTCTTCTCAGACCTCTGAATCCCAGTCAGCTTACTGATACCACTGTGTTGAGTCTTAAGCCTGTCCTACACATACTGTGTGACCTCAGGTAAGTTATCTAACCTCTCTGATCTCCAGTGTTTTCAGCACAGAAGCAGGAATGATACCAACTTGAAGAGCTGTCAAGACATTCAAACATAACAGTACATGAGAGGGGGACTTTGCCAAATGCTTGGTACCTGTTGAATGCGCTCAAAGCAACGTCTGTTGCTGTTGTCAATAGCAGCAGTAGTAAGTTCTTTTATCAAACCTCAGGCCTCTTTCTTCAGGCTAGAGAGGCGAACAGAGGCCATTCCCAGCATCCCCCATCCCTGGCCTCCAGCCTTAGGGAAACATGAGAAGCAGAGTTTGAGGAGCTCATGTGTGTCCCCCACACCCCTTAATCCTTCCTGAACTTGGGGGTGGGGGTGGGGTGGGGGCGGCACTGCTGCCACACCTGCACGCTCTGACATCTCCTGCCTCTGGGCAGAGAAAGCAATTTCAGAAATGACATGTTGCCAACAAGCAGAGATCAGCTTGTGAATTAAAATGTGTCCACGTCAGGTGACCCCAGGCTTGGGGGCTGGCTGCATGAAGACAGCTGAGATTAGAGGCTGTCAGCTACAGGAGGGGCCACGCAGGAAGGGCTGGCAGACTGGGACTACCATTGCTCCCCAGGCCTTTGGCCACCCTGGACTTGTTTAGGCAGGGGGGCAGGAATTCAATCCACGGGGCAGGTCTGCCATGGGTCTGACTGGCCTCCATCGCTCCACTGGCCACTCTCCATAGTGGAGCTGGTGGGGGGTCCAGCATGGCTCCCCTGAGAGGCTCTAGCATAAACACGCTAATGGACCTGAGAGAGCCAGGGAGGAATGTGGGCCCCATATCCCCCGGGGACTGGGGATGGGAGTGGGGCAACAAGACACCCAAGACATAGCCAGCTCCTGCTCTGCAGGAAGGAGAGAAAAGGGGAGGGCGGGAGGTGAAGGAAGGAGGAAGGAGAACCCCGGGATGAGGACAGAGCTCAGCAGCCATGCTGGATTCTGGTCCTCCCTGACACCCCCCCCCCCCAAGTCCCCAGGCGTTGAAGGCCCTGCTCTTCACTCCTAGGGAAGAGATGGGAAGAGGCTGTTGGATCTGCAACCCAGCTATTTTCTTGGGCCCTGGACATGGCACACAACTACTCTGAGTTCAGTTTCATGAAATGGAGATCATGGCTGTACGTACCCATAAGGGCTGCCACCCTGATTAATTAACAAAGAAATAGCCTGACCTAGGAGTTCCCCAGGCAATTGGACTCACACAGTGACATCTCCCACCTTCTAGTGATCTCTTTCCTCGTCTGTGACCTCGCTGAAGGCCGGCCTGGGTCTCACTGCCATGCCACCCCAGCACTCTGTCACACTTCCAACACACCTTGGGGGATTCATCATGTGGCTGCATGGGTGGCTACATGAAGGGACCCCAGGTGAGCGTTGGTATGAACTAAGGAAGGATCCCACCTGCTTTCCCCTTCCTGAATGTCCCCATGCTGTCTCGTGTCCTTGCTGTAGCCTTTTCCAGCCCTTCTCTAAGCCTGGCAAGCTGTGCTTGGTGTTGAGATGGCAGCCATATTCACCCACCTAGAAATGGGGCCCACGGGGAGGTTACTGTTCATGTCCTAGGGTGTCTGAGGAGCAGAAGAATTGACCTTAGGGCCATCTCAGTAGCTCCAGGACTTTGGGTCACTATAGTCACACTCCACGGAACCCAGCATAAAACAAAAACTATACTAGGGCCAGTAGGGATGAGGTCCTCTATTGGGTTAAGGAGGGAAGTGGGCTCACGATGGTGGAGGACAAATCTGACTCATGACAGGAAATCTTTAAGGTAGGAAATCTGTTCCACTTCCAGTGTCTTTGCCACCTGCTTCAGGAATCTCACCGGGAGAAGACAATCTCTTCAGCCCCTGCTCAGAGCAAAATCATCAGAGAAGCAACCTAGAAGTTGGAGAAGATTCCACAGGGCAGTGGATGAGAGCGCAGGCATGAGAAAGGCCTAAGTTTGAATCTCAACTCTGCCATTCACTCAGGAAATATTTTAAGCTCCTTGAACCTCAGTTTCTTTGTCTGCAAAATGGGAGTTACAAATCTTACTCTGCAGAGTGTTTGTGAAGATCAAAAGGAATTCCACAGGGCTGGGGAAGAAAAGAAAGCTCAACTCCATAGAAGAATGGCAACTAACAAAGAAAAGGGATGATGGAATTAGAGAATCAAATTGGATGGATTTGGGCAAGGGTCACTAGTGGATGCTGCAACTATTGGATAGAAACCACCTTCACCAAGCAATGAAATCCACGATCATCAATGAGAGGCAAAGAGACATCCAGTGGCTCCTGGCCCTCTATATGCCTGGCTAAGGACACTCAGGCAGCTTCTTGAAATTTCAGGAAACAGACCAACCTCAGTTAAGAGATGTTCCATAAGGCATCTGCCTTGAACTCTTCCAACTACCAATATCATGGAAGTAGAGTCCACTTTGGACTACAGTGGAGACATGAATGCAATGCATGATTCTTACATGAATCCTAGATCACGGAGGGAAATGTCATAAAGGACATTTAAAAATATTTTTTTGAGATAGGGCCTCATTGTGTAGTGGAGGCTGGCCCTGAAATCACTACACACAGTGAACCCAGGCTGGCCTCTAACTCACAGCAATCTTCCTGCCTCAGCCTCTCAAGTGCTGGGTTTACACCATGCTTAGGTCATAAAGGATGTTTTGAGGGTGAATTAGGAAAGTATGGGATTTAGCTCAGCGGCATAAGCGCCTGCCTTGCAAGCAGGCAGTCGTGAGTTTGATCCCTGGTACCGGTAAAAAGGAAAAAGACCAAAAAAAAAAAAAAGGAAAGTATGAAGATGGGTGGCATTGCGGATAACACTGCATCAATGTTAAAACTCCAGGATGTTGTTTTTAGGTGATTTGTGATAAGTGCGGAATTGCCAATGTCTATAAAGTTCTCTTAAGTCCAACAAAATAAATACGGAGAGAGAGAGATCCTGTGTGTGCAAATATGGCTAAATGCTTTTTAAAGGGGATACCATGGGTAGAAAGCGATCTAGTGATTGTCTCGACAAGCCCCGATCCCCCAGGAAGAGTGGCAGCTCGAGCAGCTGAAGGAGGAGAGGCCCGAGGGCCTGTTTGAGAACCGGTTTACAGGCAGTAGCAGGAAAGCCCAGACAGGCGGGGAGACTGAAGGAGGTACAGGGGAGAAAGATCAAGGCAGGCAAAAGACCTGGGCCTGCTTCCCGGCAGTGTGGCCTTTGGTTCCTTACCAACCATCCCATGCCACAGCCACCCGTATCTGTGACAAGGGAAAAGGTTGCACCACGGGTGAGGTTCAAGGTAAAAATCCGTCGGTAAGGTGAAAGCTGCTGTCACTTGTGCTGTTGAGTGTCTATCATTGCTCAGAGCCAGCTGGAGCCCGGGCTCAGGGACACTGGGCCCCAGAAATATGTTAGAACTGAGATGAAGGGGAAAAAGAAGGTACCCCCTGGGGAGCTTCCCTTCCTGAGGACCTGAGATAAGGTAATGTGGCCTCCAGTAGGACTGTAGAGCTGGGGACAGAGCAACTGTGGGCTGAGAAATAAGCATTTCTGGTATCCTTCCTTCACAAAAGGGTCCCTTGCTTCAGGTCCCTGGAAGCTGTGGCTTCCCAGAGCATGCTGGGAAGGCAGTGTGGCAGAAAGGACTTGGCGGTTGGCATGGAAATGGCCTAGACCGTCGCATGCCATGTGCCTTGTTTCTCCTGCCAGACCCCAAGTCTCTGGAGGCTCCTGCTTTGCCTCACCCTACCTCCACCCATCCCAAATTATTGGTCACTGGGTGAGGTTCTAAAAATACTTGTCAATTCCAGGGGAAGCCCAGGTTTCAGTTTTATCCTGATGCGTCACCTGACATAGATTCCATCCTTTCTCTAGGCCTCGGTTTACCCAGAATCCATAGAGTGAACTCTCCCTGCCTCACCTGCAGCTGAGGAGACACAGCTATGTGGAGAGGAAAGAACTCACACTTTGGAATCCAGGAGATCTGTGTTTCAGTCTTGGAGCTTCTGCTTGCTAATGGCATTAGGAGCCTTCTGGGTTTCGTTAGCCATTCTAGGTGGCAGTGTCATGTGCAGGGTCAGTGCAATCAATCAACACAAAATAAGTACACATAACTGGCATGTATTTTTATTGGTTAATGGTCTTTCCACCACCAGGATGTCAGCCCACTTGATCTTACACATTGCTGTACCCCAGCGCCCAGGAGGGTGCCTGGCATTCAGTAGGAACATCATAAATAATCATGGGTGGATTAGTGGGCACTTAACAAATGACAGCTACCTTTGTCATTCTAAAGTGTGCTTGGACAAAAAGCAATGGAACTTCATGGCTGTTGGGAAAGGAAACTATAAAACAAAAAATAAAGTTCAGGGTTAGCATGGGTCCATCTGTCCATCTGTCCACCAGGCAATAGAGGATTCCAGGGCAAATGGGGTTAAATGGAGAAGGAGGCAGACTCTGTGTGCCCATGACAGCCCTGCAAGAACATCCATAAATGCGGAGGGCTGAGGCAGGGGACATTTGGTAAACTGGAGAACTCCCATGCATCCTGTCCCTTGTACTGACTTACAGCAGCCCGTTGGGAATGAAGGCCCAGTTTATCAATGGGACTGATTTTTCAAAGAAAATAAACCCCCACAGAAATCCGGTGGGAAATAATATATCTTAAAAGGGAAAATTTCAATTAAAAGCAAATAAAACTCCTCTGGAAGGGCTTAGTGAGGTAGCCCAGCTTTCTTGGGCAATGTGACAGAAGAACCCTCTAAAATGACCTCCATGGATCTCGCCAGATCTTGCAGGCACTTCTAGTCCCAGAAACATGGGAGTCCATTTGGAAATGCTGCCATGCCATCCAGAATCAAAAGGCTGGAATCACGCAGTGAGGAAAGAAGCCACTTCCCTGAGTTCCTGGGCTTGGGACGATAGACAGGCTTTGGCTCCCAGGCTCAAGGTAAGACAGCTCCCCCAGTGCCAGGTCCATGTAGACATTCAGCAAATATTCAGGGAACAGTTCCCTGCTGTGTGGCTTTGAGTACAGACCTCCATCTCTGGGCCTCAGCTCAAAGATGAGCATGCAGCCCCCACCACTTCCTAAAGATAATGGAGAAATGAATTGATTAAAGAGATAAAAATGTTTCTGGAAAAGGAAAGTGCTTTACAAATGCCAAGCGTGGTCTTCCATGTTTTCATTATTATTATGAGCGAAATACTTTTGACAGGGGCCTGGAACCCAGAGAAGCAAAGACTCTTCAAAGACTTCACAAGGATGATCCAGATCAAGCCAGTAGGACACATCACAAAGGAGATGCTTGCTCACCGATTCCAAGATAGATCACGGGATGCTGAGCTAATGTGACCTCCCCCCAGCCACCTAACATCTAGCTCAGCAGGGCCCCAATCAGGTCTTGCTGTGTTTCCCCAGACACAAGGCTTCTGGGGAAACACAAACTCCACATGTACTGCCTGTGAAACAGAAACTATATAAATAACATAAATACTTTCCCATAATCTTAGCTATATAAATACTCTGTTTTGCCCTAAAAACTATATATGTGAGGTAGACAAAAATACCCTGTGAGCATTTCCCTTAAAGCTGCAGAATGAGGGGTTATTGGTCACTCCGGTCCCCAGGGGCCCCAGAAGGGCTAAGGTGGCTGTTTAGGGGTAATGAGGAGAGAAAGAGCTAGAAGGAAGAAGAGAGGGAGGGGGGCTGGACAAAGAAGACCCCCACAAGCCGAGGGGTCAGTGACCAGGGTGTCAGTGTCAGTGGCCAGCCATGACCTCGGTCATCTGAGTCTATCCCTTATCCTCCTGTCACCCCAGCCCTAATAGCCATAGAGTTGGGGTGTAGATAGAATGGTAGTAGATGGGGTGCCCTGGCCCCCAGGTTTCTCCCAAGTCCTTCTTCCTGCCGTGCAACACAGCCTGAGCCAAGGTACAGGTAATGCTGGAGGAACAGGATGGATCTCCCTGGCAGAGAACAAGTCTCTGTTCATGCAGAAAGAAGTAGACCACAACTAGAGAACCAGGCTGCAAACCCTTTTTCTCCTTCTGCCAAGATGTGGGCCAGCTGCAGGGTCAGCAAAATCATTCTAGCAAGGGGTGTCACGTCAGTTTGGCCTCTCATCAGTGCCTCCATCATCAAAGATCTTTCTAGCACCCCAGACTGCTTTGAGTCACCAAAGAAAGAGTGGACCCTTTGGCCGTGAAGGTCTCTAGGAGGCTGTTGGGCCTCTGGCCTTCTTCCTGGAGCTGGAGTTCCCAAGGGTTCTGTGCACTTGGCTGATTCTGGATTTCCTGTTTCAGTGGAGGGTCAGCAGCCCTGGGTTCAGGGAGAAAGGAAGCGTACGAGAGGTCGCGGCAGGCCAGCCAAGCAGCTACAAGCTTCCCGAAGGAGGTCACTTCCTCCCTGCTGGCCTTAGGCCCTGCTCTTGGGAAGCACATAGGATCCAGCAAACTGACCCCTGCAAGAGCTCAGTCCTGGGCCAGAGATGTGCACTGCTCACTGGAAACCCTTCACCTGGTCCCAGTGGTGCAGGCATCTGTGTGCACCTATAAACAGATGCTCCTCCTTCCACCTGGGGCTTTGGAAGGTGGTACTGGAAATGTCCACAGGTCCACGGTGACTTTAGCAAAGACACATCTATTCCTCAGGCAGGGGCCCAAGTAAGAGGCCATTACTGAAGAAAGAGGCCACCAAGGAGCCAGGCTTAACAAAGACTCTACCAGAACAAAAGCCTGAATAGACAAGCAGCCGTGAGAATAGACATGTAACCAGAACTGCAGATCATCAGTCCAAGGTCCTTCTGCAACACAAACATCAGTAGCTGTGGGGCCTCCCAACCCCGGTGTCCCACAGCCACAGGGGTCAGCCAGAACACGCTCTGGCGTGAGCTGAAGCACTGAGCTTGCTGCACCCCAGCTGGCACCTCCTCCTTTGGGCTGTCATCAAAGTTTCCTTTGGCTACCAGGGAAAATGGAGAAGGGTCACTGTCTTCCTGCCCAACCGCAGGTACACTACAGTTTGAATTCCACTCTGGCGACTGGCTCTCCCACCTTTCCCATCTGCCTTGGAAGTCTCATTGAATAGAGCTGGGTATCTGTGAGAAATTCAGCTATGGAGACAAGGATGAGGTCTCAGTGCAGCTAGGTTTGAAAAATCAAATCAAGGGCATGAGATTTGAGGGCATGAATCAAACTTGGTGCCACTAAACCCAGAAAGATTTCCTTACTCCAAACAGCTCTCAGCACTACCGCCAGAATAGTGTGAGTGCATGGCATCCAGAGCTCATTGAAATCTGAGCAGGACTGGACCGACCCATCCTGGCTGGGTGCCTGCCTAGGCTTCCAGCTGGCACTGTCTCTCCTGCATTCCCCCAGCAGCTTGCTGGCTTCTGGCCATGCATCCCAGGAATGGGAGACGGCAGGACACCCCTCCTTCCCGGTACAACCTCACTCCTTCCTCCCCTCTACGTCTCCTTTATTTCCTTCCACTTCCCTTCCCAGTCTGCTCTCCTGCTCCAAATCTTCAGCAAGGTTGGAGACACTTGGACTCAGGGCAGGATACTTTGCTTCAGTTTGCTGAGTGTTGTGGGAGACAAGAGGCTGGCCAAGGATGGAGTGGGGACAAAAAAGTGAGGAGTGGCACACATACGTGCACGGGCATGTCCATCAGTGTCCACATGCACATTGCATGTACCTTCCCCAACATGCCACCAAGGTCCCAGCAGCACGGGTTGGCTCACTGCAGTGCCTAGCGCTTACACGTGTATACAAGCTCCTGTTGCACGCACTGCTGGCACTCCACGTAGCAGCACCACTGAACCTGGCAGTGGCAGGAGAAGGCCACCAGGCGGCTCTGGGTGTCATAGCCACGCCCACAGCACAGGCTGCTACAGCTGGCCTCCCGGGAGCACACCCTGCCAGCCGTGCCTGGAGAATACTTGCTAGGCCGGCAGAAGCTGGGGGAGTCCTCCATGTAGACAAGGTCTCCAGGCCGGGGTGCCAGCCCTTTGGTGGGGCTACCTGGCTTGGCAGGTGCCCACAGCTCCAGGTGGCCCAAAGCCTCGTTGGTGGCACTGGACACCTTGACAGCGGAGTCATAGCGCAGCTTCAGCACCTGGCCTGTCTCACGGAAGGGGGAGAGCTGCTTCCAGCAGGTGCGCACGGCACAGGATCCTGACACTCCGTGGCACTTGCACGTGGTCCTGAGGCCGCTCTTCACAGCCTGCAGAGAGATGCAGATGGAGGCCTGGTCAGAGGTCCATGTTAGGGTGCCAGCGTGGCACAGAACATCAGGAGAATGAGAAGGGTCGTGTGAGGGAAAAAATGGGACTCAAACTGGCCCATGAGGCACCTTCTGGCAAACCGGTAAAAGGCTCTGCTGCTCTTGGCAGTGTACACCGTGGTGAGGGCCACTGCTGATCTCAGCCCTAGCTCCTCACTTTGCCCAGGGTTCTTGTGGAATATATAGGCTGCACAACCAAATGAAGCGGCCCTGAATTACACAACTCAGTGAAGAGACACAAAAACACAGACTTCTATTCCCTAAAGAATTTCAGTAGGGTGTGGTAGCACAGGCTGTAATCCCAACTGCTTCAGAGCCTCAGGCAAGAGGATCACAGGTGTGAGGCCACCCTGGGCAACTTAGCAAGACCTCGTCTCAAAAAACTGAAAAGGGCTGGAGGTATAGCTCAGGGTGGAGAGCCCAGGAGTACTGGGCTCTCCCAATCCTCTCACCCCAATAGATCTAGAGACTTACTACTAGCTAGTTCTCAGTAGTGACCTCAGTTACATCCCTGACCTCTTTGGTCATTTTCCTATCCAAAAAACTGGCCAGTCAGAGGTCCTGATCTAAGTTGTTAGAACAATGTTGGCGTCGTCTTTGGAATGGACATTCTTCTCTAAACAGCACCCTGCTTTACCAAACATGTCCTGAGCCTCGTCCCGTTGCTACCCAGCCATCAGTGATGCCCGTGACCGCCCCTACTTTCTTGTATTTATGGTACACAGTAATGGTCCAGCATAGATGCCCAAAGGATGTCAGCTGAAGGCATGAAAATCATTCTGGAAGGGATATGTGTGTTCAGATGGGGTGCTGACCTCTTACAGACCTTGCACCCCATCTCTATACTCTGCCCAGGGGCAGTGCTTTGGGCATCTAGAGAATGTGCTCACCTTGATGCCCACATGGGTGTTGTGGGCGTCAGCTCGGGCCCGCAGGTCCTTGCTTCCTCTCTTGGGTCCCAGGAAGTTGCTCAGGAATTTGGTGCTGTACTTGAGGTTGTCACCACACACACCCCACTGCCAGGCCTGCCGGCTTTCCAGGCCGGGGGAGTCATCACAGGTACAGCGCTCCATGCGCCCAGCACTGCAGGCCCGGGCCAGCGCATGGGTGAGGGCAGCTGCAGACACTGCATACAGGAAGGCTGTCTCCTTGAAACCTGTGCCAGGCACCAGAATGCCAGCGGGGAGAAAGAGGCACTTCAGAGGCTGTCGGAGGACAGGAGGGGTGCAAGCCACACAATGGCACTGAAGCCCAAGTACACATCTGGGGTGAACCTTGCTGTTCGGGCGTAAGGGAATTTCCAAATTCCCTGAAGAGTAAATGCCCAGATTGCCAGGGGGCAGCAGAACAGCAGTCACTGACCCCAATAACAGATAAGAACTGAGATGCAAGGAGAAGGAGCTTGAGCACCTGGGGAGATGCCAAGCTGGGGCCAAACAGCCGCCTTGATTCCAAGTGAATATGAGACAAGTTGGACCGACCATTCCCGAGGCTTCTGATCCCCTGAGTGATGCACCATGGGCTTCCTGAGCTTCCAGGATGTCTCACATGTCATTCTCTGCATCCACCAAGGAGTCGGCCCAGTGAAGGGTGCCTTGAGTCTTCTGCCTGACTTTCTCTGGACCGAGCATCCCAGCCTCTTCCAGAACCCTCACTATGCTTGTACTGTTCAGGGAGCACTGATGGGCTGTTCAGTCTCCTATTGCTCTCCAGAACACCTGGGTGACGGTGACACTAAGTGGAAGGCAGGCCACTTGCTCTGCCAAACCCTCTCCTGCTGTGCAGAGCAGCTGGCCTAGGAAGTAGTTGACTGTCTCTATCACCGCATTTTTGTAAAAATCTCACATGATAGCCCTCTCTTCCTGGCCATGGAGTCACGTGATGACCTGCTTTCTCCCCTCCTAGTCCATGTACTTTCTGAGTGCAGAGTCAAGCTCAGCGCTGTCCCTCCAGCATTTGGCCCAGTGCCTGCCTCTACATACACACAGTAGGTGAGTGGACGGAGGCCTGAAGGGATCAAGAACAAGAGAGGGAGGCAAAGGAAAGGAAGGGAATGACAACAAATTTAAGGAGCAAAGAGACAAAAGGATGGGTGAACACAGGAACCAGCTGGCCTTGTGTATCCTGGCCAGTTATTAATGGCCTCTGTCCTTATATGTGCCTGGACATTATCTTCAGTGTGCATGGGAGGCACAGGGAGGCTGCTGGGACCTCGGGCCTCATCCACGGGCTCCTCCAGGAGTGGCTCATGTCTCCTCCTTTCTGTGTCTTCCCCTGTTCATCTGTTCCTCCATCTCTTAGACTAAGCCATGAACAGCCTTTAAGAGATCTTCACAGACCCCCAGGGCTCTTGCAAATTCAACAAGGGAAGTGTGGCCTCCTCCTGCCTCCCTCCCCATGTTCCCCAAGCCTCTGCCTACCTCTCTTGAGCAGGCCATTCCTTCCCTCCAGGCTGCAATTCCAGCGCTCCTGCCGGAACTGGAACTGACACTCGAGTAAGCCAAGGTGTGCTGCATCCCGCAGGGTCTCAGCCAGGCCAGGCTCTCGCCTGCACAGCTGCTTCTGCCGGCGGGACAGCTTGAGCATGTCACACTGCTTCAGGTGGGCACTGCCCTGTGTTGGGGCTGCCTCGGTGCCCAGCCCTGGGAAGGACGTTAGGACTTCTCGCCCAGTCAAGCTAGAGAGAGAGGATGAGAAAAGGGAGACATGAGCCTTGGGGGTCCTGACTGGGAACACTCCATGAGAATATAGGGACAAAGTGCAGGGACTTTCTTGGGATCTTCATTTATTGGCCTTTTGGGTGGTAGGCCAGCCCCACGTGGGTTACGGTCTCACAGAGCAGGAGATCAAGGTGCAAGAAAGGATTGGTACAGAAATTTAAATTCAAAATTCCCAAATTCAAGGGGCTGGGGATTTAGCTCAGCGGCATAAGCGCCTGCCTTGCAAGTGTGCAGTCGTGAGTTCGATCCCTGGTACGGATAAAAATGAAAAAGACAAAAAAAAATTTTTTCCAAGTTCAGTTTCAACTCTCCTTCCCCAAATTCCCCAGTTAGAAAAATCATCTGGGTGCTTAATAAAAATATAGATTTCCAGGATCCACACTACGTGATTCTGTTTCCATTGATCTGAAAAGGGCCTGGGAATCTGTCTGCCACACTCCCTGGGTAACTGCGATAATTCAGTAAGTTTGGGAAACATTGCAGAGCCCTGGCTGTCGCCTGACAGCAACCTTCCTAAGAAGGTAGGCACAGGGAACGCAGACTCAGAACAAACACAAAGCAAAAGTCCTCCAGAGCCTTCCTTCCCTTGCACTGTGTTGCTTCCCAAGTCATCCTGGGCCAACTGAGCTTCCTTTCTGAATCTCAGACCGATCTCCAGCCATCTGACCATTTGGTACCCGAAACAGAGATGCTTGAGGGATGGAAGTAAAGAAAAAAGGAAAGAAGAAAGGAGGGAATTAAGGAAACGTAGGCTGGGTGAAGGTGAATCCCAGATTCTTGTTTTAGACCCAAACCCCTTGGATGCCAAATTCTAAATCTGACTCTACCACTTCTTAGCTGTGCAACCTTGAAGTGTTGGTTTTGTGCTCTGCAAAGTATAAAGAGTGACCCACTCTACCTCTCAGGGTTGCATGAAGATTATGGGAAAGGTGAAAACCACAGCACCCAGGACATGCTGGCTTGCCTTCTTGCTAGCTGGAGTTTCCCAAATCATTCTCTTGAAAGATGCCTTATTCTCTAATTGGAAGAATCTCCTTTAGTCCAGATGAGGACACAGAGGCTTTAGGAGGAGACAGCGACTGGTTCAGGTACAACCAGAAAACAGTAAAGTGGGATCTTAAATCAAGGTACTTTCTGTCCTCCCAGGAGCTCTCCGTGACATGCAGCATAGTTCAAGATGTTTGCTGTTTCCTACCCTGGTGCCTCCCAGAGTGGATGGAATATGCACCATCCAGGACCCAGGCTGGAGGAAGCTGCCACTTTCTGCAATATATCAAGCCTCATAGCCAGGATAAAGCTATGATAATAGCTTTAAAGCTCCTGGTTGGATGTGGCATTTGCCACACCTGCTTACATCCTCCTAACCAAAGTAAGCCCTGAGCTGTCAGAGTTTTCCAACTGAGCCAAGTACATAGCTCTCCTGTTTGGAGTCACCTGCCTTAGCCAAGAAATTTGGCTGGATGCCACATCCTCCCTGTCTGGCAGAGTAGGAAGCCTCACTGGAGGGTGTGGAACCTGGCTGGGCCCCAGGTGCCCCCGTAGATTCCAAATCCATCAGGTGCAGCCAACCCAGTGTGGAGCATATCTCTGAAACCTCCGAACAGAGACAGATGCTATCGGGCTTCTCCTGGCCCAGCCTGGCCCTGGGCTCCCCACCTAGACAGGGTGAGGGCAGGGACCTGTTAATCATTAATCTGGGGGCAAATGGGTAAATTTCCAGTCCACCAAGCCTACACTCAAACCCCTCCCTGCAGCCTGGCAGGAAATCCTCAGAGCTTGACCCTTGGCAGGTCTGGAGCAGAACCTGAGGTCAGCTCCAGCTGAGAAAGCTCCAGCTTAACTGGTCTCCGGCCTGGAGGGCAGCTCAGGACCAAAGAAGATAGCAGCCATGTGGCTTACTCAAGTGTCTTCCCCACACTAAGGGCCAGTGTGAGGGGCCACTTTTGCCTGTACAATTTCTGTGTGTTGGCAGTCAAGACCTCACTTATAAAAGCCGATTGGCCAAGCAGGAAACAACCAGGGAGTGATGGAAATTTAGCCTGTGGGACTGAGTATCCTTCAAGTCTTCAAGGCCTGTCTCAAATGCTATTTCAAGAGTTCAAAACCAGCCTGAACTGCATAGCGAGACCCTGTTTCAAAAAAAAAAAAAAAAAAAAAATCAAGGCCAGGGGTATAGCTTAGCGACCCAGGGCCTGTCTGAAAAGGTCAAGGTCCTGATTCTGATTCTCAGTACCCACAAAGAGAGAGACAGACAGACAGACAGACAGAGAGCATGCAGTTGCTTTCTGTCCTTTTCGGTGTTTGAGTGACTACACTTGTAATACAAAAGATAAACAGTGGAAGCTGACCCAAAGAATGGACAAAGGATTGACCCAAATGCACTGAGAGGAGAGGTGAGAATAGGGGGGAAAATTCGGGAAACATTTTGGGCACTGGTCCTGGAATTCTCCTGAGGTCTAGCTTGCTCTTGCCTGAGATAATTGCTTACTGCATAGCAAGGGCTGGGAGCTGGTTTGTCGAACTAAGGTCATTGTCCTTGATTATAACCTTTTTGTGGGCTGTAGAGTATCACAGTTCCCTAGGTTACACTTGTAAACCAGATTCAGTTAAAACACACACACACACACACACACACACACACACACACACACACACAACCTTCTACTCATTGACAGCAACCTGATTTAAAATTTCATGTAACAAACCCTGAAATTGATGGCTCAGTATAAAGTCGGTTAATTTTATTAGCAATAATGACACTTAGTAGTGATTAATGATCAGGAAAGGCAGCCAACCACAGAGTACTCAAGCCATGCTAGGCCCTGGTCTGTCCAGGGCTGTTCTCAAAGAAGATTTCCTGGCACTGTCCCAAAGCTCCCTAAAAGCCTACAGAAGACAGCTTGAGGGAACTTCCAGGGCCCAGTTTCCCTTTTATTTTTTTTCCATATTGCAGTTTGGGAATCATACTTCTTGGAAGAAATAATACTCCGACGTCACATTTAGAAAAATGACTTGACTGATTTCCCCGAAAAATGCTAGTGACTTCTATGCATGCCCATCCCATGGCATCCCCTAGGGAAGGTACTTCCTGGATCTCAGAAGAATTCTGGGCATTGCAGGTTCCAACCCATTCCGTGGACAGCAGGCATTTTCTCTCCTCTGGAGGAAATCTGTTTCCAGAAGCCTAGACCTGAGGACCCTGCCCTCCAAGCCTCTGAGAAATTTCTATCACCTACATGTTAGCTGAGCCCCAGAGTGGTATGAAGGAGAGCCGATTATGAGATCCAAGATCATCAGTCTTACAAATCAGGTAAAATGGGAGTTTCAAGGTTTCAAGGAAGACATCACCCTGTCGTCCGTCACACTGTCAACCACACAAGTAGTCTGCGTTCTCAAAGAGCAGAAAGCACACAATCTGTGAGCTTATTCACTGGTCCTCACAGTACCTTAAGACTTCTCCCTGACTCAAGTGCTCCTGGACTACCTGGACCCCGCGCATGAGGTTGGACCTGCTTGGACCCAGCTGGTCTTCCCCATTCCTCCCCTCCCTAAGTTCCCCAGGCTGACTCCTAGTCTTGTTTTCCCATTAATAAAGTAATGGCCCCATCCTGTGACCAGCTACCTTCTTTTTCCCTTCTTTATCCTCCCTAGTTGGGTGTGTCAACTCTCTGCACCATCACTTCTGGTCCCTTGGATCAGATTGGGCATAAACCAGAATTTGCCCCCATGAGATGCCTGCTGGCTTTGACCTCAGGTCTCTCAATCACTTCTGCTCTTAGAATAAGAAAGTCAAAGGTGCTGTCAGGCACAGAGACCATCCTCATCCTCTATCTACTCTGACCCTTGAAGCCCCTTCCTTTTTGTATGTTCTTTTCAGTCGCAGGTTTGGCTAAAACTGCCTCATAGAGCAGCCTTGGAAGAGGCAGAAGAAGGTACTCTCAGGCTCGAGGAAAGTCCTCAGGAGGCTGTTCTGTTGTTAGCAGGACCCAGGGACCATCCAACCCCTATAAGAAATGTAGCTCATTCCCCAGCAATTATGTACCACCCACTGGAATGTGGGGACCCCAGGACTTCATATCCTCAAGGCTGCTGGCCAAGCAGGCTGGTTTAAGTCTTCTTTTCACTCAGAAGTGACCTCAGGGATTACTCTGTGTCCACTCCATCTAACAAACACACATTGGCTGTGAGATAGCATGATGGGAACCAGCCTGCTTGAGTTGGAGTCCCACCTCTTGCTAGCTGGGCTATTTATTGGGCAAGGCATTTTACCTCTCAGCACTTCATCTGTCGGATGCAGACCATGACAATGTCTCGTTTGCAAGGTGTTGAGAGGATTAAGTAAGTTAGTGTCACAAAGCTCTTGGAACAGTATCTACACATAGTAATCTCCTCATCAATGAGTAAGTGTTCTCATTAAACACCTACTGTGTGTCAGGCACTGTGCTGGGTGCAAGGACACAGGTATGCTTTCAAGAAGCCAGTTGTGGTGGTATATACCTGTAATCCCACCACTCAGGAGGGAGAGGCAGGAGGATCACGGAGAGCTCAAGGCCAGTCTGAGTTACACAGTGAATTCGAGGTCGGCCTGGAATACATAAAGAGACCCTGTCTCAAAGATGGAGGGAGAGGAGGAGGAGAGAAGGAGAAAGAGGAGGAGGAAGAGGAGCAGGAGGAGAAGATGGCTCATAGTCAGGAGGAAATGTGATCTGAGTCAGACTCCAAGGAGAAGAAAAGTGAATTTCCAGCCAGCTTGGCTCTCTAAGGAGTGACCAGTAGCTGAACTCCCAGCGCTATCTAGGTGACCACCTGACCTTGGCTTGTCTCGTCCATCCCACCTATAGTAAGAGGCCTGGGGTGGGGCGGAGGCAGGAGGAAGTTCTGGGGAGCACTCCAGGCTGGCTGGGGAAGGCTGGGCAGGTGCACTATTCATGCCCCAGGCTGTGCTTCCAGACCTGCA